GAAAGAATTGTTAGTGCTTTCAAGATCATAATTGATTTTGAATTAATATATGAAAATAGTTATTTAAATTTTGTAAAAGAGATATGGAACTTATATAGTAAGTTGTTAATTCATTCCTACGCAGCTTTTTGCTGAATGATGTAGAGATGTACAAATAGTGGTGCTTTAGGAATGCCAATGATCGACACGTGTTTTCTTCCATTAAGCTTGGGTTCTTTATAGCTTTTTCTTCAAGGAAAAATGGATCAAAAGTTGCACCACTCCTAGCGTCCAAGTAATCATCAACAAATTCAAAGGTTTTTTGGCTAATGAACATATTCAAACACAACTTTAGACTGTCTATAATGATGTTTTCTTCTAATGTTTAAGGCTAAAAAAGATCCAATGATCAAAGGATTCTCGGTGATATTCTTTCTTTCTTTAGACCTCCACATGTGGCTTTCTTATGTAGTTTTGATAATTTTCTATACTTTTTACACTTCTTTAATTGTATATCTTTCCTCTACTTAGATATATCCATTAAAGATGTCATAACTTGCTTAATTGCTCTCAAATTGTGCCTTGGATCCACCATTTCTTGCTTAAGCCTGTTGACTTGTGATGCCAATGACGGATCTCTCGGTATTGCTCCATTAAGTACATCTCCAAAATTCATTTGAGACAAAGAAGAACCACTTGCTTCTCAATTATATTCCAAACTTGGAGCATCCATGAGCCTGGTGGTGAGTTTTCAAAATTTGCCATGTGGTGTTCATGGATTGAAAAGAACTCAGCCCAATGGTGGGCGCCAAATGTCAACACTAAAAAATAGAAGAAATGGTGTGAAACCGAGTACTTTATTGATCAAGTATGGAGCGAGCTTACAATAGAGGGGGAATGAAGAAAAGTAATCCCTTTCCTAGGTCTAATATTAGGGTATTTATAGGATATTACATAGAATCATCCTAAGATTACAATTCTACTTGGTTGGTGTTGGGTATTATAGTTCCAGTGGGATTTAGTCTATCTCTAGTTCTAATGGGATTTAGCCTATCTAATCTTGATAAAACTCAAGATACCTCCACATGTCCTAATTCTTATAAGACTCGATTTAGGATATAACAATCCTCTTACTAAAAACACCAGAATCTATGTTGATATGTATTCTCTAATGGTAATTCTATTTTTTCCTCTTTTGAAAGTTGAATTTGGCCTAAAAGGGACCCAATCTTGTCCACTTCTTGCTTAGGTGACTCAATGCCTAGAGCCCAATTACCTATCCTGGTGGCCATCTTAAGCAATAGAGATCACAAAATTGATAGCCTTGAAATCTATAATAGAGGCAAAGATATATAGATTGCAGATCTAAAAATTGAGATAAGGATGTCTCTGTTGCAAGTTTTCAAGTTATTTAGCAGAAGATTGTGGCAGAATCGATGTTACAACCTTGCCTAACCTTGTAGAAAGAAAAGTAGCTAAGGTATAGGGGCAAAAGATGAGTAGCCTTGCAAATTGATTGTCCGCACCAGTGGAAGCTATTTGGTGATTAGAGGGGAGGTGATTGTCGATGGAGAGAGAAGAGAGGAAACAGGAAGCTCCTAACTAAAGGAGAGAAACCCTAAGGAGAAAACCTAACCTAACCCTAACTAGGAGGCTGTTCTATCAGTAATTTTGGGAACACATTTGTTTTTGGTTCTCTTCCTATAGCAACAATACCCTATGCAAGCACATAGTACTTCACTTTATTGTACTCATCTATGTATGTAACACGACGCCAACAGATGGATTGAGAGGGTTTCCTTACCAATAATCTACCAAAAAATTAGGTATGCATTGAAATTTAGCTATAGCCAGGGTCTATCCCCATGTTCGTAAATAAAAAAGAAGGAACAAAGGAATTTGAGGGATGGTGTTTCATAAGATAACTTTACATTTTCCAACAAAATGTAAATTTTGATCAGGCATAGAAAAGGTGGAGAGAGAGATTGGTAACTCATGGTAAATCACTGCAGTGCAGTTTTTGTTGATAATATTAATAACAGCTTTTGTTCATTTGTGTGTTTTTTTCTTTTACCAGAAGGCAGGTATATATGTTTGACATTTTCACACGAGAAACTTAAAAGAATTTAACTTATATCAAAAGTTAGTTAGAATCTCCATTTGAAGTAGAAAGTACTTTTGTTTGTCTCTCTTTGGTTAAGACAACATGATTTTCTAGCGAAATTAGTTGCATGACTTCTGTTGGCATATTTCTAGTCATCATGTTTGGCAGTCAATGACTAAATATCTTTCAAAGATAGTGATGTTTCTTTCATGTTTTATGGCGCAGGACCCCTGTTGTTCCCGCGTGGGTACTACAGCTGTTGATCTGTGAGTGAATTTCAACTTCCAGCCATCTGAGAATTTTGAACTTGTTCACGGTTCCTTTTTCCTTCCTACTTGAACCGTTCCAATCTTAACTTTAAACTCATTTTTGGTCTGCTAATCATATATGGTGACACTCATGAATGATGGATGGAGAACTCAAGAGAAAATTCTTCAAGCAACAAATCAAAAGGTGAGACAATGCTACATTGACATAATAGGTAAAATGGTTGGCGCTTTCACACATTATATGAAAAAGCTTAATGACATAATGCTTTGCTAATGTTTACATTTTTTTAATACTTAATATGAAATTATTTTTGATTTTAATATTTACAATTAAAGGTATTCTTAAACCAATTTTTTTATATTTTAAATTTTTTTTGAATGATTTTAAAACACACCTCTTATATTAATTTAATTTAATATATTCACAAAAGTTTATTTTTTTACTGTTAAGCTCAAAACTCAAACATTAAAGTTAATTTAAGGTCATGGATTTGATATAGTACATAACTTGAGAGAACAGCTAATTTCACATGGTTTTTATTTTTTAATATAGAATTAATAACAGTTTTTTAAAAAAATTAATAAGAGTTTTGACCTTTAGATGCAAATTGATTGGTTAATGCTCAAAAATTAAATCTCTCTTGCTGCCACCAATTACATACCAAAATTTTATAAATTTGAACCCAAACAAAAAAAAAATATACTGTTCTTTCTTTGCCCAGGGGAGGCGGCGAGTGTTTCTATCCGTTCGTGCAAGTGAACAATTCATTTCATTAATAAAACATGGAAAAGTAGAGGAAAGAAAAAAAATGAAGAAACCCACAAAGTCGGTGGGAGTTGGAACGGATAAGGACTAGAGTCTATCGAGAAATTCCATCTTCCATGTTAGGTGGGACAAAATAATTTGACAATTCAATTTCTTAATTTTTTTAGGATGCGAATTCGATTGTTGAAAGGATCAAATCAACAATTTAATTTGAATGGACCTAAGTCTTTTTCTCATTATTATTTATGAAATAAGTTAGTTGGTTAAAATTTTCATGAAAAAAGAGGTAAAAAAAAGAAAAACCAGATAATAAATTTATATTATATAAATAAAAAAATATTTTTATATTAATAATTTAATTAATTATTTCGTAAACCTTCCTCGAACCTAAGAACCATTTCGTCTATAAAGAAGATGTTAAAGAAACTTCAATAATTATTACCTGTGTTAGCATTCTTCCGTCTGACTGTAGTAACAGTCATACTTTTTTATGGTGAAAAATTTGTGAAATGCATTTTGATATGTAGGTTAATTTTAGATTTTAATTTTTTT